ATAAGAGAAGGGAGGGGGGGGGGCAAGTGCCACTGAGTGCCCCGGCGTTGTGTGTGTATATACTTACGATCTTGTACTTGGGCTACGATCTTATATACGCAAGCTCGGACGATCAAGGGTAAGGGTGTTTTGCTCGCTCGAGATATTACGCGGTACAGTGCAGCGAAGGGCTAATTTTTGCTCGCGCTTTTTTTTTTTTTTTCTTTTTTTTTTCCGTCTACAGAAAGGCAAAATCGTTGGTTGTATAAAACTGCGTCTCAATAGCGTTGAAAAATGTTTTGAGGGGGCTACATCCACTTGAATCATAATTACTTATGCGCTTGGTTTGATCAAACGAGTATAGTCTCGAATCAAGGTGCACTGCTTAAAACGCGAGTATAAAATTGTTGTCAAGTTCAATTAATTTATTTTTAAATTCTTCGGCTCATCGGTAGAAGATATTTCTCTTGTTGCACATATGGGTTATTCAAGCGCGTACAATGGCATATACGTGTATATATACCTAATTCGAATATAATATTCTGGCAAACAAATGCATATGGGGCAAAAGAGATTGATTGAAAATGAATTTATTTATGCCAAGGGTGAAAACACCCGAATGGCAACTCATCAATGTACAACAGTGTAATATACAATACATAGTATACAATGGAAACTTACTGGATAACCAGCATAATTTAAATAAACGCATATGCGCATACTACATGAAACAAGATAACGCTTAATCACGAGTTTATTTGCCAATTATCTAACAGTGCGTGAAATAATAATTTACATTTTTATCATGTAACAATCAACGCTATCTCTAATTCTAATGGCTAGGGCTCATAAATGCTCATATAGTGCGTTTTTAAACGCCATCAAATTACAACATTATAAAAAAAAAAAAAAATATAGTACACAGTAATGACTTATTAAATAGTTCAAATACTGCGAATAAACGCATATGAGCATACTCAAAGAGAGAGAGAGAGAGAGAGAGCGGGAGAAGCCGTGATTGCGAGGAGCATCCCTAATCTCGCGCTCCCCCTCTCTCTCCCATAACTTTGCCTCTTTATCGTGTTCTCCCTCTCCATTTCCCATATGTATGAATATACGTGTACCGAGAAACCACCACATACACACACGTTGCGCTTAACTAACTTCAAAAGAGAGAAACTTGCCCCCCGGTTCCAACCCTCCCCCCCCCCTGTCTCTTTTTTCGAGCGCTCTTTCCCTCGTGCTTTACGTGACCGAGAGCGCATATCCCCGATATAGTATTTCCTCGTGTGCGTATACGTGTACCCTATCCCACTCCTCCCCCCACCTCGGTCGCAATCAGTTGCCGTAATGCCACGATTCAGAGTTCATCAGGGCCGCCATTTTGCTGACACCCCTTATTACGCCATTTTGTCGATGCTATCAACGCACACGTACGCCCCCGCGCTTGTGCGTCTGTCTGTGTGTGCGTTTCAGTTCTGCGGTACCCATACTATATACATAGAAAAGAAAGAGCACGTACGATATGGGCGCACTCGTGTGTTGTTGTATAACTGTATGTGTAGGAGGGTTATTTTGCCGAGCAAAGGCCATATATATATATAAATATGTATAGGTACGTAGGTACACACGTTGCAGGATGCCGAACGAGAGAGGAGATAAAAAAACAAAAAGTATACCTGTATGAACCATCGAGGAGAGAGGGGGGGGGGAAGAAGTAGTGATGTGCAGGTGAGAGAGTTTTTATATTCGGAATCACGGTCGATTGTTTCTACGGATTATTTTATCGACCCTTCGTGGGGTGAATATTATGTTTTTGTGGATACATCATAGAAAAAATGTGTTTTTAAATTGCAGATTTGAACAAGCTTGTTTTGTAGTTGCGGATACCGTTGAAACGTGCGAAAAGTGAAATAAACTGTACAGGTGTCGGGAATAACATTAATACGTGCATTGCAGAATAATATACAAGCTTTTCGTACAATGGGTTTTTTTTTTTTTTCACTCACATTGTAAGGGAGCTTTTTGCTCCCGGTAATAATTGTATCAGTCGTGTTTCATATAGATATAGGTTTAGAGTTTTACATAGTAATAACAGTATAATAATAATAAATTTAACTAGTTAATTCATATTCATTTTTACGCCAACAACCACATCCTGTTTCTGGAGACCACTGCTTCCTTAATACACCTATTTCAAACCTTTCAACGAATGAAAAAGTAGGAGAAGCAAGCAGCATTATTAACGACCACGGATAAAAAGTATACAACGGATTCAAGTGACCTGGTGATGAAGACATCACAAATAATGAAAACTTATCCAATGATGGTAAGGACGCCATAATCTTCCTGGAGTTATCAGATAAGGCCATATAATTTTGTATCGATAAGTCAAGTGGGTCTAAAAAAAATTTTTAAATGATTATAAAAAAATGAAACAAATTATTTAGAGTTATTTAATTATTAAATTAATTAGGTTTCATACTTTACAACAGTACTTAAAAAAATTTTGAAACTTACAAGAGAATGATAATTAAAAAAGAATATCTTCCTCATCCCATGACTGCAGACTGCTTCTGCATTGCTCAGTTTCATCTCACTGATGTATCTTTGATGCTCGATGTTTCAGTTCAACGATACTACGAACACTTTGAAGAGTTGGCGATTTTAAAATTTTTTGTACAAGCAATCTACTTATATACAATTCCAAGTTATAGATTTAAGGTGGTGAGAGAGTGGGACAGCTATTCGAGTGAAGTTTTTTTCCCAATGAAAANAAAAAAAAAAAAGAAAAAAATCGCTTACGCAGCCACAGAGGAGGAGTATCCATACACGATTTAATCCGAGCAAAGGAGACACATTGATGTCATCATCATTCTCCGTCCCGCATTTTCTCGCGACTCTTGCCTAACGATATAGCAATAAGAGGGAAGGAGGGGAGGACCGCGCAAACAATTCGCGGAGACTACACGCATGGATAAATATATGCAAGCGCACGCACACCCATACAAAACATATACAAGTATATCTATAGAGAGAGGAGGCGGAGTAGCGGTTGATGGGAGCGGGCCACCCTTATTTAGTATACGTAGGTAATGTACACCCGGCGATAAATTTCGAGCCCTGCCCCTCGCGCCGATTGTTCCGTCTCCCTCCGTGAGCTGTAAAAAATATAAGGTAAATAATGAACGGACAAACGAATGCGAAGAACAAATGACACGGTGAAACTGTACGATTTTTCATTCGATGATGGTTGAATCGAGCAACCGAGACAAAAGGGAGTAAAAAAAAAAAAAAAAAATTTGGTCTCCAGGGATCGTTTTGCGGCGCTCCCTCGTTCGGCCAAAGGAATTTCTCGGAGAGCCGTTAGCCACCGGCAGCATCTCGATGGTCGATCTCAGCGTATGTTCCTCGGACGCGGCGAACGGAGGAGCGATAACGGCCACAACGGCGCGCTTTGGCTTCTAAAACCGAAAAAATTGACGTCAGCCGCTCTCTCGGATCAACGAAAAAGAAAACCCACCGTTTCGGCAGTTCCACCGGTCGTCAATTATGGCGCGTCGAGGAGAGAGCTTAACTTTATTCCTACTTTTTTTTTCTTTTTTTTTTCTCCCACATCAGCCATCCGGGGGATTCGCGGCCACGCCCGTCCCGTGTTCCCGCGGCCGATGGGTCCGCTAAATCGCGTTCGACGGCTCAGAGAGCCCCTCCCCCGTACACGATATCTCTCTCTCTCTCTGCGGACCTTTTTAAGCCTCCCTGGCGGTGGGGAAAGTACCTACCTACTTTGGGAATCGGCTCCGCGCGATTTTATCGCGACTGCCCTTTTTTCCCTTTGGTATACCTTTCCGATCGACTCCCCCTTCGTGGCTGTGTATACAGAACTTGCAGCCACGGAATAAGCGCCGATGGTCACTTATACCTATACGAGGGGGGGGGGGGGAAAGAGAAAAAGCAGAGGTAATCCTAGCGGGATTTCCAGTGACACGGGCGAGAACCTCATCTGCCTGTTATATACGTATATACATATAGGTACGCGTGTGTACTTAATCGAGTCGTGTCGGCCAAAGATGCCGAGAGAGTTATCGTGACTTATCGAGCTGATGATACGCCGGTGTGATGTGTGTGTGTGTGTACGCGTTTCTCTCGATGCGCTCGTGTGTAACTTATTGCGGATGTATGCGAAGCGATCGTCGAGCTTTTCGAGGATGAACCTTGTGTTTTTTATCTCTCCTTGAGATTACCCGTTGGATCTTGTGAGAAAAAAAAAAAACAACAAAAATGCTTGTATATAATATATATAGGGGTCAGTGGAGAGGAGGGAACAAAAAGTTTACTTGTACTCGAGATAAGGGAGGATACGTGGATTATTATATGTATACATCCATCGCTCGTGGATGGTGATGAGTATACAGTAGAGGCGTGTGTAGCCGGAGAAAAACCGTCCGTTAACGAGCGAGAGACGATATCGTTCATCTTTTGTTCCGCTTTAATTATGCTCCACTAATTATGCGCCGGACCGGTAATTACCGGCGCGTTACCGGAGACGGCTGCTCTCTCCTCTGCTGCCCCCGAGGGGATACATCTTTCTCCCTCTCTCTATATGTATAATATACATATATGTGTGTATGTACATCCCCTTTTTGCTCCAATCTCGTCTCGATGTGTAATAATCGCTGGGGCCTCCTCCTTGTTCTCGCTCTTCCTCCTTCGACCTCACCTGTGACGTGTTATGATACTGTTACTGTGTATACCGGTTATAGTATAGTGTGACACATTTGTGCACTAGACGGTAAAAAAAAAAAATAAAAAAAAATAGAATTTTATTTTGATTTTTACCTAGACATCGAGGTATCGTCACATCGAAAGTATTACCTATAAGTTCGTTCAGTGTGAAAAAAACGAGCGAATAATTATAGTAAATGAGTTAGAAGAAAAAGAGTTTTTATAATGGGCATTTTTTTTTTTTTTTTATTTTTAACATGCATAAAAATATCGTAATAATCGTAAAACTAATCTTATGTTGTAAGTATACTTTTTTATTCCCTCATGATCGTTGATTAATTTTCAAACTACTTGGTCAACGTTTGAACCAAGTAAGAGAATTTACAATTTACTTGCAAGACGGTTTCTTTTCTGGCAAGAATCATTGAATAATCTTTCTAAAATCGATACTGTGGTTTTTTCCACTGCACGATGCATCCATTATGTGGATAATGATGATAGTGTAGGCTTTATTTCAATAACTTATAATTATATTAAACTATACGCCAAAAATTATTGATGACTACAGATCGCAAAGTTACATCAAAGCGCATTGGGCGTTTAAAAAAAATCTCAATTTTCGGTCAAGCGTAAACTGGTCAACCGATTGATAATTATCTGTTCTAGTATTTTTTAAGAAAAGGAGAAGAGGTGAGGGAACATATTGCAGGTCTCCGTGGGGAAATAAGAGACGAATGTTGGTGTGCGGTTGTGACGGGAGGGGCACTGGTTAGAGGAGAACTGCAGCGAGAAAGCGGGAACAACAAATTTGATCACACCTAAATGGCCGTGGCGACCGGAATTCATGCTGAAAAATCATCGGTGCGTTAGGTCGAATTTCGATTGACCAACATCGCGAGCAGTGCACACATACCTACACGTGGCATTTTTGATATTAGGTTATTTCATGCATTTGAATTACTTGATATTTTTTTTTTTCCACACTTGTGTTTGGCAAAAATCTTTAATTTACTACATAAACAGAGTAAACATTGTAACAATGAGGCTCAATTTGATCTCCAATAATTTAAGAACAAAGAAAAAATCTATGACAGCACAATGAGCCCTTGCAACATTTTAAATCTAAAAAAGAAAAAAAAAGAAAATCGGTAATACAGCAATTACATTATGTACCAATAACTTGCTACAATAATGGCCATTATTTAACGAGTCACTTTTTTGTAACGTAACATAAATTTTTTTTTAGATTGTTCACAATAATCTATTTCATGGTATTAGTGTCGCATGAGTAAACATTAAATTACAATTGTTAGATTATAAAAAAGAAGAATGCAATAAAATATAGTCGATATAGTAAAAAAAATTAAAAACTATACTTATTTGTAATTAAATATCTGGTAATAATTTAAGTTACACAATACGACGAAATCCGCTTCAGTCTGTAATAATAGACCGATTCATCATTGAAAATCTAGGTGGTGTTTTCCAAATGGCACTTGATGTTCTTTTTAGTTTTTTGGGATCGATACCTTTAAACAAATCCCTCAAATCTGGGGTACACTTTTTGGCATCGAAAAATTTCAAAACAGATCCCATTGGTATACACTGCTGCATTGCTAATTGTGCTTGCCGTATATTTTCTAATAGAAAAAAAGTTGCATTGAAAAATACTTTTTGACTTTAACGCTAAATTATTATCAAATATACGTACTCAGAGCCCATTGTGGAATCTGATGCTTGGGTTTGCACTCATCATCAGTGTCTTCCTCGTCGGGATCACTATCGATTTTGTAATTGTTTGCCCCTTGCTTTTGCGCCGCCATAGCCTTAACCTGTTGTAAAAATTTAAATAAATATTTAGCATCAATTAAGTAATAAAAAAGATCAAAACCTGTCAATTATTGAGTTACCTTTGCCTGTTGAACAGCTTTTTCCATCTGACTTTTCATTTTCATCGCTTGCTTACGTTTTTCCATCTCTTGCTCGCGGCGTTTCTGTTCAGCGAGTAATCTTTCTTGCTCCTCTTGCTCTTGCAGACGCTGCATCCTTAGCAACTCTTCCTGTTTTCGCTTTTCCTCTTTTTCCTACAATAATTGCAAATAATTGTATTAGTTTCGTATCAATGCTTTCTTATAAATAACAGATTGCACAAGTTTACACAAATTTCAAATATACATACTTGTGCTCTTTGTATCTGAGCTATGCGTCTTTTCTCCATTTCTTCTTTTTGTTTTTCTTGCATCTGTTGAGCTATTCTTGCTTTTTCTTCTCTTTCTCTTTCAGCTTTCAGTCTTTTTTCAAGCTCTAATTTCTCTTTAGCTTCCCTCGCCAACTTGTTTTTCAACTCCTTTTCTTCCCTTTTCCTGAAACAACAAAAAACATATGATTTCCAACGTTACATATGACGCAATTCAAACAAACCACTAAAGTACATTACCTTCTTTTTTCTTCAGCCTGAACTTTGAGTAACGCTTCACGCTTTTGTCGAGCATCTTCATCATGTGCTCGTCTTCTTCTTTCTTCAGACGCTTTATCGATTGATTTTGAAGCCGATTTTGTCGGTTGAATAAACGAGTCGACGTGCGTTACAATGTTTCCACGAGGTCCGGTTAAAGCCTTGCCATACTAGATAAGTAAATTGAAAAATGCATCATTATACGATTATTTGCCGAGAAAAAGTTTTTTTTTCATGACGATATCAACTGATATTTTTCTCAATTTTTCCACATCGTTTATTTTTATTTTTTTTACATGAAATTGGAGCTCCAGCTATGAGCTTTCTATGTTTGTTGTAAAAACTAATTAGTTAGTAAATAATTTAGTTTGCACACATAATCGTTTTATGAACTTACGGCATTAACAGGAGCGTTGGAAGGAGTTGAAAATTGATAAGTAGTGGTCAAAAGACGACTTTTGCCCAGTGGAGTAGTTCTGGATTGTTTTTGAACCAGCTGCTCCAAAGAATTGGTTTTCTTTGATCGCACAATATTAGAACTTTCATTCTGCAAATAATATAAAACAGCATTAAAAAAATAGTCTTCAAGATGAATGGCATCATTAGCATACATACTTCTTTCACGTCGTCATAGTCCTTGTGTTTGGCCATAGGAATTTTCGTGGCTTTTTCTGAAGCCAATTTATAACTTTTAGATGGTGTAGGAGTTTCAGAGGCAGCAGCTAATGCGCGCGTTTTTGTCCTTGTAACTCTAGCAACAACTTCAGTTTCAACTTGTTTTGGACTAATAGCCACTTGCTCAAAAGCTTCAACTCTCTTCTTAACCGAATCTTTAGCATAAGGACTGAATAATGCTGCTGGTTTGTATGTAGATTTTACTGTTGATGCCAATTTCGCATCTTTGATTTTTGTTGCCGCCTGTGGTGGAGTGCGCTGAATTTCATCCTCGTCACTTAGCAAGGAATTATTATTAGACCTAGTAGATCGCCTCTGCACAGTTGAACGGCGTCTTTTTCTTTCTGGTGATGATTCATCATCCGTAATAAAATCATTAAACTGGTCTATTCTCTTATTCTGTTGAGTAGTATTCATATTCCTGTGCGACTTTCTTATAGTTTCGGAATTTTTCGGTGTTTTGTCGTCACGAGAATCTTTTGCCTCTACCATCGTTTGAGTTGCATTAACTTTTTTATTAGAGATAGGTTCCTTGAACACGGAATTTTTTAAAGTGACAGTTTCATTCATAACCGTTTTAGAAGGTAAGGGTTCTATCGAAACAGTAACATTCATAATTCTTTCCAAGTTCATTGCAGCGTTTGGATTCATAGTTGAATTACTAATTGGCTTGTTAATTGCATCTTCGTACATTGAAGCCAAGGTTTCATCAACATTACTCATGTCCACGGTTTCGTTAATGACGTTTTTTTTGTTTCTCCGCGCACCCGGGGCATTGATTATAGAAGACATTGATGATCTCGTAAATCGCTTTGATTCTGTATTTCGTTTATCACTAACGTTTATCTCTTCTGCCACTTTTTCTTCATTTTTCGGAGTTGAATTGATATAACGAGCTTTTTTAGCCTGTCCTGTTTTTGATGTTTCGTCACTTGATTTGTCAGACTTCAAAGTTGAATCCTGATCTGCATCCTGATCCTCCAGCTTACGCTTCTTTTTCTTTGTCAACACGCTCTTCTCATTTTCATTGACTAATGTGGAATGAACGAATGCACATTCTACTTCTGAAGCTGTATTATTCTTTTTATCTTTTGATCGCATTTTCTTATTTGTTGCAATTGGCTTAGAAGGTCGAATATCTTCATCGTCTGAACTGTCTAATGACGCCTTGGATTGCTTTATCCGACTTTCCTTGATAATATAAAAAAATTACAAATATAAATATCAATAACTCATGCGTAACTTGATTAAGAAGAAAAAAATCTTAACAAACCTTGCTGGGGGATTCGCTATCCTCTTTGGATGGCCTTCTAAGCTTTGACGTTAAATTTATGGACTGCTGTTTTCTTATACTATTAGCTGCTTTGATAGATGCTCCTCGTTTTGCTCTACCAGGACGAGCATCGGACATTTCCAAAACCGACTCTGTATCGTTGCGGCTGGAAACCGAAGAGTCGACTTCCATTTCTTCATTTTCAGGAATTGACTGAATCTTGGTGTTCTTCTTCTTTGATACTTTTGGAGTCTTGGAGAGTATCGGTAACGAGCCAGTTTTCACTTGAGAGAGCAACTCTCTCATATACTTTCTCACATCTTCCTCGGAGTCCTTGAGTTGCTTTGAAAGATTCTCTTTTTCCTGACTGATGCGAGCAAAGTCGCTCTGCATCATCTGAATCGCTGTCTTCTTGTCCATGATGATTGACTGATCAATCCGGAGATAAAAGAAAAAAGAAAAATCAATTGGAAGAAATATTGCGAAAAAAAACCTACAATATTTTAAAATATATGAAAAAAAGTCTTTAATAACAGCGCCCAAAATGGCGTGCGTATGTTACAAATTATAATACAACAATACAATTAGAGAAAGAAAGCGCTCATTGTATGTTGGTAAGTACACTCGGCTTCACACAGCCAGCCATGTTTAAAAATCTTGGGCCCCCCCCCCCCAAAAAAAAATGTACTTACGGTAAGTCTTCTTTTCGGAGGGATTAGAGAGCGACAAAAGGATGAATAAGATGAATAAGTGAAATATGTCCACGTCTACGAAATGTTCCTCGAGAGGGACATACAAATGCCGAGGGGTAGAGGGCGGGAAGCACGCGGTAAGCACTGCAGTCAATGTGGAGCTCCGGAGAATCTCAAAACAAGGTGTGCCCCAGGAGGGGAGCAGCACGAGGACCACTCACTTACACACACTCACACATACACATACGCGCACGTTTACGTATAACGTGAACAACGGACGAGGACGACGACGACGACGACGACGAGAGCTACAACGAGAGGAGAAACGGATGCGGGGCCATATCGTCCGCGGGCTCTTATACCACGGGAGAATTCGACCCTAGAACTCCGCGAGCATCACAACTTTCACGTATACTTAGGTAAACACGAAGAACAATATTAACGAACTCGACAGCCTCGACGCGACTCGGTTACCGGCTCCGACCTGCAGTTGCTTTACAACCGTCCGCTGGGCTGGGGCCTTGTCTTTAACGTCTGGTTTTTCAAATTTGCGACACCAGCGCCTCTGAAGGAGCGCGCGAATTTTATCTCCACTTTTAACCACAAAATTCAACCGTACAGTGCTGCCTCTCGTGAGAGTCGTGAGTATCATCGTATAATGGAAGATAAATGGCAATATATGACTGGACGAAAGGAGAACTTTTTCTACGATTTCTTTCTTTACGCAAGTAGGTATTGAATGCAAGTCATTTTTATGCGAGTTGAAAAATTGTTTGTGAATTACGTTGATTTTTAAAAAATTGAAAATGAGTACCTTTTATTTCATTAGTTGAACGAAATAGAGTACAGCCTTGTAACAATTACTAGGTATTTTTGTCTTCTTTTACCATCACTTTCATTTAAAAAGGCATAGGTAAACATGCTTCATTACAGGGTGAATTAATTTTTATTCAAGGATAATATAAATACACGCAACTAAATTAAAACAATGACAAAAACAAGTTTTAATTTAAAATAGTATTATTTTATTTGTAATCAAAGTATACAATTTGTATGATTACGAATCAATTTTTCTCAACTTTTATCATAGTTCACATATTTTTTTAATACAAAGAACTTTATTCATTCATGTATATGCATATAATTATTAGGTGTGTTTAAAAAACTTTTTGTATAAATCATTTTCTATTTACAACGTATTGAATTTCAAGCTATTAAAAAGCTGGTTTTCTGTAATAATTATCGCATTTTTTATTTTGCATCTCATAAAATCCGGTAGTTTTCTTTAAAAAAAAAAAAAAAAACAATGCTTCTTTCTTAACCACAATTAAACATGACATATATACTAAAACTACTTAAATATTCAATAGATAAAAGTATTATGTTTATGTATGACATTCATTAAAACATTACACAATTAAAAGTGTCTTCTAATTTTTGTAAATACAATTAATTTATACCAAATTAAAAACAAAGAAAATAGATTTTTATTGCCAACTGATTTTACCAGTTTAAGCTTTCCAACAACGAATTTACATTATTTTGATATTCTGACTAGATGTATCGCTTAATCAATCATTTTTTCATTTCACGATAAAATAATGTTTTCACAACACTACATTATGAAACACGTCACAAACAAAATTTTTTTTTCTCTTCAACTAATTAAATTTTAGACACCTAAAATTTTTCAACAAAGTTTATATTTCCATGCCAACTACACATTTAAAGCAATTTGTCCAGTCAAATCAATGTGACAATCAATATCAAACTTTAAACATGTTTTACAATAACGTTTCGTGCAACAACGACTGCATCTTTGATGCAGACTAACAAGTAATTGCCTCAATATTCAACTAAAAAGTCTAAAACTTGTAAATATATAAGTATAACTAACGTTTCATTTAGGCTGGTCATTTTTGTTTTTCTCTAGTATCTATGTTCTATTTATACACTTGTATGTACAGTTATTGATTCTTTTTTTCAAGGAATATTCGAAATCTGACAGATAAAAAGTACTTTCATATTTCAGAACCATGAATTTCATCGCAATGCATGTGTTTTCAAATAAAATGACCTTTAATGCTTTCACACGCAAAATTAAATGTACTTAAGGCAGATGTATGTTTGTAGTAGTGGAATGTTCCTGGACAAAAAAAAAATTTCAACTGATTTCAAAGAGCTATTGTCCTAATTTTTAATAAACTTTGGCAATATGCAAGTTTCATGGGCGTGACTTTTTTTATAACTGACTCCTTTTCTTGAATCACCAGTCTTTATGAGCACTTTGTATTCCACTTTTTTCATTGAGTACAAAAGAAAAGTGGTGATCAAGTTTGAATGCTTTTAATTACTGTGAGTCATGTATGGCATTGCGAAATTGAATCGGTATGTTTTTATGGCTAATTGGCTTTAACGTTTAAAGAGGAACATTAAAATTTACTTAATTTGGCTTTGGAATACTGACATGTGTAATATCCATTGCCCCAAGAATCCCAACTAATCCCTTAACGGTAAAGATTTCTTACTTATAACTGCTATTGTTATATACGAAAATTATTCAATCTTATTTATCTATAAGCGATTTTCGTACGCAATTAAATTGAATTGAATCGAGAACGCCAGCATCCTCTATTTTTTTATCTGCTTTAACTTAGTTAAAACAATAAATATAATAAATTTCTCAATTTTGGAAAATTAAAGAAGTTAATTCAGGATTTTTAAATGCTGGCTTTTCACATTACCGAAAATCGCGGTATTTCCTTAACGATTTGGTAAAGTTAAAAGTCTTCATTTTTAATTGTTCAGTCCTGAAATAATTTTCCACCGAGTAGCATTAACACGCACATAAAACCCTGTCGCAAGGCTCATATCATCGCAATTGTCCGTTCAACTTTTTCTTAAATGAAATTTTTTTTAATAAACTTTATAACTAAAAATAAAAAATGCAATAATCGGTTGCTTTGAGAAAAAAAAAAAAAGATTTTTCAAACACCAAAACTTGTACTTTCTAAATCAAAGTCTATTTTACTAGAAGATCGACTGGCTGGTATTTCATCGGAATTATTGAACTGCAAGAGTATTTCCTCCTCTAAGCGAGCATTTAGTAAAATATCCATCCCAGTCATACCCTTCTCACTGTACTTTTGAAATACGGTTGTAGCCATCCTCCATACTTCGCGATTCCTCTCAATTATCTGCACAATCGACTTCATCGAGGGAAATAGATTTGCCAAGTTCCTGTAAACACAAGATAATATATTGCTGATAAACGTACTCTGCGACCATAATCTATATCCATCAACGATTATCGACACTTACGTAAATAACGGCATTACAAGATTCGTGATAAACTGTACTTGAAGATCTGGTATGGATGCTCGTTCTCTATCCATCATTTCAATCGGTGCTGTGCCCATACTTTTCTCTAAATCGCCTTGTGAAAAAAATTCGTCGTATATTTGTTCCTGTAACATGTATAATATAAACTTTAAAAAACTCGTACGTTATTAACTTGATAAAGTTTACAATTTCAAAAAATTACCGCCGTCTGCTTCGAAACACGCCAATTTTTTGTTTGATCATTGAGATCGCAGGATGTCATAAACATGGCGTGCAAAAGCTTTTGGTGTTTCGGATTATTTTTGTCGTAACCAGCTTTCGTCATTTCTCGTTGTTCTTCAACGCTCCGGAAATGGGACGCAAGATCCGTAGCAAGGATATTGTTTCTTAGCAAATCAAGTGCATCGCTGTATTCGTCGCTGCTGAGATTCTCAAAAATATTGCAACCTTCGGTATTCAATATGCACATGGATTGAGCCAGATGATGTCTCTGTGGAAATCAATAACACAGTAATGTAACACAGTAAGAGGAGTGGATGGCTTGATATAAAGTCAGCTTACTTCCATGACGGATCCTTCAGAACTGTAAAGACTGGCTAGTATGGTTCCACATTTCGTTTGAAATGAGTTGTTAGTGCCTCTGTGGTCAATGTCGTGACATAAACAAGAAACGAGAAAGACCAAAGCTTGCAGTGAAGTCATATAGCCGTCTCTGACAAGATTTAGATTTTTCATGAGCAAGTAAGCGAAATGGGCCACTGAAAATGCATGCATCCAGTTATGGTAAGGCGCATCTCGGTAACCTTTCTTCACGTAAAGTATAAATCTGAAATATGACTTTGTTAGATAAAGTTGAAAAAAATTTTATGAATTATTAAAAATTGATAACTGACCTTGCTAATACAGTTTTTCTGATTTTCCACCGCCGGATGATATTCAAATCGTTAAACATTTTTAACACGTAACAGGGCATATGTCTGTAGGGTACGGTGCGTGGGCAAAAGTGAAACATATCGAAATCTTTTATATTATGATCATCCCCACAATTTAACAGAGCTTGCACGTCCTCTTCTTCTACCTAAAAAGTTACAAACAAATTTTAAAATGACTTGTCAGATGAGCCATCTCACATTGGAAAATAAACTTTAAAAAATATAATTTTACCTGCTAAATTTTTACATATCCATTTAGCATAAAAAATATATGGTAAAATTAAAATTTGTAATACAAAATTTCGACTAATCTACTGAATCAAACACAAACAAACAAAAAGTTACCATCATAAAAAAAAAAAAAAAAAATGTGTATTTTGTTTAATTTTTCAAAGTACCATGAAGATAAGGAACAAGGAAAAAATCGATTACGTTTAAATATCAAGCAATCAACAGATACTTATCGGTAGTGAAATAAAAGTTGATTTTTAAATTCATGCCTAATGTAAAATATGACCGCAGAGCACCACAAGTGAGAACGTTCGATGATTTCTCCTTATTCAAAATAAAGGAAGAAGAAAGAAAAAATAGGTAACATGCGCTTCAAGATGTATACTCGAAGGCGTTGAAAAAATATAAACAGATGATACCTGCATGTGATACATCATTAACTCGTTGCTGAGCTTACTCCTGGCCTGAGCGTCCTGGATTTTTTTGTAAACAATACTATGCATTATGGATATACCGCAATAAATACTGAAAGCCATCGCCACCTCTTCATCAAAGACATCGAAATACAAGCCATTTATTTTATTGCACAACTGGGCTACACCTACAAAAAAAACCGACAGATAACAACATTCCTTTTCTTCAGTGTACATAATATACATGTACATTAGAAAGAGTCGCATGTATTTGTTTTGACGAAATTGATTACGAGATAAGTTTCGCATTAATTAGAGTAAACAATATTAATCAAAGCTTTCTGACATCAAGTTGCTTGTTGAGAAATAATAAAAAAAAAAAAAGGTGGAGGAGGATGGAGGAGTAGCAAAGAGGCAGAGAGATACACAAAACACTCTGCTCGTCTAAATGAAAACAAGCGAGCAAGTGTGAGTGGTTTGTTCATCCATCGTAATCATCATCATCATCATCATCATCATCAGTTAAAATGACAAATAACAACAACAACAGCAGCAGCAACAGCAGCTGCGTCGATTTACCAATGATGCCGTTCTCGTCCCTAATGGGGAAGCAGAGAATATTCCTCGTCTTGAAGCCGGTGGCCTCGTCGATGCCCCGATAAAACAGAGGATGCTCGTACGCGTTTCTAATATTGAGCAGCTTGCCGGTCGTCGCTACGTGGCCCGCGATGCCCTGGCCAAGTGAAATCCGCATCTCTTGGGCAGACTGTTATGAAAAAAAAGAGAAAAAAAAAAAAAAAAAAAAAAAAAAAAGATCTCCACTTTAGTAGACGTTACTACGAAAATGGAGGCGTAGCCCGAGTTGTCGATGGGGTAGTTCATATGGGCGGCCTTGCAGCTCTGCATGTTCACGATGCTGACCTTGAAGTTTTGCTTCTGTTGGGAAAATTTAGTGTGTTGTTTGTAGCTCTTTTTGCATGTAACTTACAATTAACATGTCTTTACAATNGGCGTGAACATGAAAAAAAAAAAAAAAAAAAAAAAAAGAGAAGAGCACGTGAATAAAGTAAACAAAAGCAAAAAGCTCCTTATCTGTAGTTCCCTCTCTCTTTCTTAGGCTCGCATCGTTGCGCACAACAGCAGCCCGTCGCCTCTGTCGTCATCGACACGCAAATTCTTTTACATTTTCGCGAGTACGATGACAAAGAGAGAGAGAGAGGGGGTGGGGAGCAAAAAATTAGATAAGATAATGGTCGGACGGAGAGCGTAAGCGTAAAGTGTACAGGTATATACCGTTTGCATCGGCGAGAAAGAAAAGTGGACTTACTTCATCGGTCGGAAGTCCGTCGAAAACCTTGGCCACGAGCTCTTGCTGCTCGGCCTCGAGCAAAAAGAGCGAGCAGCGCTCTGCTTTCGTGAGCTTGCGAGCTTCCGTCATTATCTCGCGCAGCAGGTCCGTCAGGTCGCCTGTTGTCAATCATTAAATGCGTACACGTACACATGTGTGTGTATATATATATACATCATCGGCAGCAGCAGCATCAGCATCGGTCGTCGTGGTCGTCGGTAATCAAGAAAGACAAAACAAAAAATTTTTCCATTAGTCATCGCATGCTCGTCATTTGCTCGTTTTTAATTACTCCTTATACATAGGAAAAACGAGATAAGAACAATAATATATATATATATGTATCACGCGGGTGTGGGGTAGGGGGAGGATCTAGAAGACGAAATAATCAGTACAAATTATCGTCATCGTCGCCGACTTTGTTGGGATTCTCCCCATTTTACGCATAGAAAATAAAATATGTATACAATACACATATATGGCCACTTACAAATGTGGGTACGGGCATACATCACGTAAGACGATATAAATATATACATTGCGAGCGTTGCCCAGTTTTTCCAGAGATAATGTACGTACATAAAGTGTACAAACTTGTGTGTACAGAGGCAGGCGAATGGTATCAGCCGTTGGGCTCATTATCATAATTATCAGCGTTACGCACAAGCATGTGCACCCCTCGACAAAACTTGGGAAGGGGGAAAAAAAAAACGAGAGAGGCACGACCCAGAAAAAGAAGAGGAGAAGATTAGTATCGAAAAGAAAGTACATATACTTGGCCGTGAGATATGGGAAAATAATGTAAAAAAAAAAGAAAACACACACATAATATGACGAACACTCACCGAGCCGGGTGAAGAGCTTCTTCGAGACGTCCAATAAATCTTGGCACTGGAGCTTGAGCCTCGTCTCCTCCTGGCACCTAAGTGTGCTCAGCAAAAGACTCAGGCAGTATCTGCAAAGGAACGAGCAAAATTAACGTTTATCGTAATCGTTGTTGGGATTTTTTTTTTTTTTTTTTTTTTTTTTCCTTAATCCGCAAGCTCCGCGCGAAGAAAGTCACAACATTTTAGTTTTATTGCCTCCGTGTGTATACATTATACCTGATACTCGTACGTGCGCGCAAGCACATTGTAAGTAAAAAAAAGGAGGAGGAGGAGGGAGACACAACACCTACACGCAGGAGATAAGGGGACGTGAAGGAGAAGCTCGCGATCGTAATTAGATATTTGTATGCGCGACGCGATATATACACTCGTGCATTCGCGATAATATAATGCCACACGCCGCATCAATTATATATATATGTATATGTATATACAGCGTAGGTATAGTAAAACGCAAGTTGCTATACCTACACGTATCAAATTATCTTCGAAAGTAAACATTACAATGAACTTTCTGCCTTACCACTCTCGTCACCCACGCGCAACGTATACACATGCGGAATGACGATCGCGTATACTTGCGGACTCAGGATGTATATAATGGCCATTAACATGAAACACATTCACGTATGGAGATTATTGCGGTTATTGCGTAACTATATGTAAATATATATATAGGTGCTCTTATAATGTCCATTGTCCGAGAGCATGTCCGATCGTTGACAATTGACAATGTTACGAGCGGAAACTTAATCGCAAAGAGGAATAATATGTGTGTATTTTACGAAGAAGAGCGGCTATTAGACCTTTTTTTTTTTTTTTTTTTTTTGTTTTTTTTTCCGAGAGAGAAAATCGAAAGAGGGAGCGGGACCACTAACGATTCGCGATCTAATTAATCCACGGGTCATTAGTTTTTATTTAATAGACAAGCCCCCTTTCCTCAACACGCCAATGGTGGCCTAAGAGTGCACGAAGCTCCTGGACCTCGTTTGCGCTTCAGGTTTATAGAACAGTGGATGTAGGCTAGTCTCAGGCACTTGCTTTTCCGTCTGCCGAGAGCTGATAATTGGAAAACTCATTAACTGTTGTTTTGAGAAGAAGAGGGAGGGGGAGAGGGGGCAAAAGGTCGAGCTGGAAAAATTTTAATTAGAAATTGTTCGCGGGAAGAAAGGAAGTGATTTTTCACTTCTTCTCTCGGCACTGCACCCCATACCCTTCCCTCGCTTCTCCCGCCGTAATACGCTCGAAATACAATTATCTTTGGTGGAGAGCAGGGAGAGGTTACCGAAGTCTGCCCAAGTTTTTCTTTTGGTTAGTTCGGATAAAATGTCCGAGAAATGGGTTTTTATTTAACAGGTAATCTCAAGGAATGTAGACTTTGAGTTTGCAAGTTGATGTCATGTGGGGTTGCTTTTTAATTTTTTTTTTTTCTGTGTACAAAAAAAAAAGTACATAATTTTTTACCGTAAAGACAATGATAAAGTTGTGATCAACGAATCTTAGTTACTATTTTTACGGTAGCTTCACGTTAATGTTTTTAATGAAAAAACGTGACGACAAACGCTTACAATAAGTCGGATAGTCAAATAGACACTCACCATATTCATAACCTTAATTTATTGTAGTATCTGTATTATTTATGTTTTATGTCATGTTTTTCTTCAAATAAGGTAACAATTACATGAAATTTACGTTAAAAGTTATAGCTATGTGAGATAAATTTTTCAGCTATAAAAAATCACCTTAGATACGATAAATAAAATAGTTAAGATCCGTTGATCACAACTTGACTGTTATTTTAACGGTATAAAATTAATGCAATTTTTTCTCTGTAAAGAATAATCATATTAATTGTATTTATTGGATCGTGAATATATTGCATTGGCATTATACTTTTTACTCGTTAACTAATAAAATAATTGTGATAAGTGTTGTTTTTTTAGTCTTAAAATACATCTTTGTTCAACAGCTATTAGTCTATTTTCATTCTGTTGATACAACCATAAAATTTCTCTACCAATTGAATTCACCTCACCAGATAAACTACCCTGTGATTCTTAAGAAATATACAATTGATTTAATTTTTTAAATCAAAAAATTCTACAATGTATTTAAATTCCTCTGTGGGTAAAATTTGTCCTACAAATTATGTAGTTTTATTTAANTAACCAATGGTTTTTTTATAGCCCTATAGGACTAATAATGAATAAGAATTAATGAAAGGTTTAAACCAAGGGGTATTTTTGAATAAGAACCCGCGGAGAAGTATGTATAGTTACGACACCATACAATAACGTCATTGAACGTTGAGGAAAAAGAGCGTTGTTTTTTTTTTCCCCGGTTTTCTCGTAATTGGAGACGGAAATCCCTAAACCGATTTTATTGCAGTTACCGTCATTTTGTACAAGTAAGCATATACTGTGCCGCACTCACGGAAAAATCGTAATAAATTTATCATTGTCCCGCAATTATTGACCATTTTCAACATTTTGTTTTCACGATAGCCCACACCTTCACTTGCATAGATTTTTTTTTTTTTTTTTTTTTTGACGTGTAACGTGCATATGCGTGTGTTGTAGCAATTACCTGACTGACTCTACAATCTTAAATAAATATTTATAAAAACAATGCTAAATTGTACTGTATTGTTTACACAGGAACCTAATTTTCCCCCTTTTGAATTCAGGACGTTGACTGGCATAAAGCAAAACTAATCAATCACGTAAAAATCGCTGAGTCAAAAGAAAACAAAACAAAAAAGTGCTATACACAAGCAAGTTACCGTGAAAGCTATTGTTTCAATTATTCAGTTTTTATCCATCCCTCCGTATTTTGCTACACTGTCAAAACTTACTTGCACCGCTTCATCACGTTCGATCGTATTGTATTACCGTCTCGTGAGTGACGCACATCATGTACTAGGTATGATTGCTCTTTTTCATCATGAGTATACGAAGTAGGTAGTACATATTATATACTCGTTGGGTAAGATATATTATATGTGCGCGTCATCGTTTATTTCATTTTTCTCGAGACGCAGCGAAAAGCGAAGGATGAGCAAGTAGGTAATATAGCAGCAAAAAAAAAAAAAAAAAAAAAAATTGAGTCAAGAGACTCCTTGGCATTTAGCTGGTCGCGTGAACGGGCACGTGCGACGTGTTTCATTTGCGACGCGCTAAAAGAACAGGACACGTATAGGTGTGTGTACAGATGTGCACAAACAATTACGCGTGCATTGTACAGAGGTTACAAGTGATGAAAAAAAAAAAAGAAGAAAAAAAAAAAGAAAAAAAAAATATATAGAACAAGTAGTACTTGCCTGAAGCACTCCTGGACGATTTTGGTGCAGACGAGCTCGGCGCTGGCCTCGTCCACGAAGCCGACGAGGCAAACGACGAGGGCCACTTGGCGTTTTATCGGGTGCTGGACCGGCAAACAGAGGTAGACCTCCGGCAGCGGCGACACGACCTGCCTGAGCGTGGCCACGAGGTCTGGGTCTAGATCGGCGACTCGTTGCCTGCACGACTCGCCGCTTAATACGGCTTTCTGGAGGCCCTCGCTCGTTATCTGTGCGGAGGAAAAAAAAAAAAAAAAAAAGACGATCGTATAAATTATATACATGTGTGCATGGGTTACTCTCTCTCTCTGTCTCTCTCTCTCTATCTGCACGTGCACTTACATATGTATATAACTTGAGTGGACGAAAATAATGATAATAAAAGAAAATCGATGGAGTGTGTACTTGTTTGCTTTTTTTTTCTCGATCGCGACTTCAAGGGTGAGTACATAGGTACACGTATATCTATATGTATTTTGGGTGTATTGTGAGGGTACGCTACACTTGAGCGAATATGGGCCCATCACATGTCAAGAGATTATTGTTTTTTTTTTTTTTTTTGCGATCAAATGTTTTTTTTCTAAACTAATGTCAAACATGTTTTGGGGTGTACAAGGATTTTCCGAAAAAATGTTCGAGAACGGTCGTAACTGTCTATAATGTATACTGTTTCAAAGAAAAAAACAAAAATCTCATACCACGTACATTGCAAATGTATTCAACTCGCGACAGCTGGAAACTTGAAAAAAAAAAAAAAAAATTAATATTCTACGATTTTCGAGACAAGACGGTTGAGAAAAACGTTGGCTTAAAAAATATTTTTTTCCCACCGGGACGATGATCTCATCCGAACTACATCTCGTACTACGGGCCTATACGTATGTAGTGCCTACACGCATGAAAGTATGATGGCGATAGAGCACGAAATCCGGTCATGTTTGGTGTCGGGCGAACAAGACGTGATTAGTGTACACAATCAAGCTTAGCAGGACACGCTGATGGTCTTATCAATCCGAAGGAAAAAAAAAGGAGAAGAGAAGACAAGTGTGGGTTTTTTCGTCGATGCAGTCGTTTTTTCTTCTTTTATATTCTATTTTTTTTTTTCTCTCTCTTTCTTCTTCGTTAATTTCGTTTGTTGTTTATTGTTTTGCAATGTACACGCAGTTGAACCTTTGTTTTCAACACGAGAGAGAATCCCTGTCGTGATGCACGTCAATTAACAAAGCGCGCCAGAGGCAAATAATTAATTAATTAATTGACGTTTCACTGCGCGGCAAGGCCTTCGTTTTTACGAGGCTGGTAAGTACAATATATTAGGCTTAATCAAGCCAAATAGACGTCAGGTCATTTAAAGCAGATAAAAAAAAAAAAAAAAAATCGAGCGAGATTTTTTTTTTTTTTTATCTGCTCTTGCCGTATTAGTCTTTCTCACGAATGATTCGGTTCGTTTAGGTATATTACTATTTTGTGACCACACGCGAGCACACTAATAACGATAATGGCCAATTGTTGTTATTAATGAGTATTATATACCTTTGCTCGGCGCACGAAAATCATACAGCTTGATGGTTATCTTTTATCGATGTGTATATTGTTTCTCTTGAATTTGGTGCTTTACAAATTTAATTATGATTAAAAGTGTGTATAGGTATTATGTCACAGGAGGACATCATTTCTATAAATATGATATGAGAAACAGAGGCGGAAATAATTATTACTGCAGCGACAAAGTTGTCCTTCGGGAAAAAACTTTTTTTTTTTTTTTTTTTCCAACCATCACATTTCGGCGATGACAAAACTACCGCGAACATGTACTTTTTATTGACATAAATTAATATGTAAGAGTGTTTACGGGGTCCCGGTAGCATGGAAAGCGAAATTCCCTATACTGTAAGTTTTTTTTTCTTTTTTTGTCAAATTTAAATTACACTGGCTGCAGTAACTTGATTATCTGTCACGGTGGTAAAATAAATCAAGATAAACCTCGTAACCGTATGATGCACTTGGTAAATATGTTTAAACAAATTAATAGCCGAAATGTTTAATCTGATGTTGCTTTCGGTTTACTGCGTGTAGGTTTACCCTACGTTCAACGTATTAAGGTCGCCGTCGCACTGGAAAATTGATGACTATTTATTTTGTCAGTTTCACGCCGCACACGAAACGTGAAATTATACATACTACGCTTATCTGATTGTAAGATTACGAAGTTTTCTTTACTGAGCAGGGGAATATCACCAATTTATTGCTGTCACGTGTACTCTGTGATGCGTGTCAACTTGATAGATTAGGCACATCCGAGGATTTAGAGCCCTCGCCATCTCGAATGCGATGCGAGGGTAAGAAAAAACGTCAATACGACCCGAAAGTTTCGACAAGATGAAATGTTCAAACGAGATTTATACACGTCCCAAGATTTACGCTCCGTTTGTTGTTGTTATTATTGCTTCGAAAAAACAATTCCCACGAATTTCGCTTCTTTCGCTCGAGAAAAAAAGAGGACGCGCTATGTATGGACTTTTTTTTTTTTTTTTTTTTATATTCGTCAAACATTGTGCATCAATTTTTTTCGAATCAAGAAGTAAACAGCGAATTTTTTGAAGCCCGGGCGTGAACATGAAAAAAAAAAAAAAAAAAAAAACAAGAAAGAAAGAAAGTGTCGACAAAGTCGAAGAAGAGATAATGAAAAATAGCGTGCAAAAGGGACTGGAGGGGGAATAGAGGACGGCGACGAGGAAGAGGAGCGCAGTCGGGGAATTTTGCGTTAACGGCACATTTAACAGTAAAGGAAAAAATGTTACATCCGCGGGCTTGGCGCGCGAGCGCGACTCGCGTTTTTCCCGTCATCCGGAAAACGTCCGAGTACACAGCGTATATAATAATAATATGCGCGGTAAGTACACACGTGACTAAACGCAAAACTCGTTTACACTACTTGTAGGTATACATATGTATACGCGGAAACGAAACGAAGAAAAGCGTCGCCGCGTACTATTTTTCCAGTTTTGCTAAACTTTGGCCAAACGTTCACTTTTCGTAAAACTCGAGCTGAACATAAACAATCAGATAATTCGAAACAAACCAAACATTCATTTGGAAAAAAGCTCGTCAAGTTGAGTGAAATATTGGTTGAGCGAAAACTCAAGTTTGGGATTTTTTCATTACCCATGTTTGGTTCAAGTTTTACCAAAGCTTTGTAAAATAAAAATTTTTTTTACATGCTATAGCGAACATGAGAGTATAATAACATCCAAATACGAATTGAAATTTTCACCAAAAAAGAAATCAAACAGTGTCTGTCATGATTAATTTTTTTAATACCTATTAAAATTGAAAAATCAATATAGATTACGTTTCAGCCCTCCTATACTCGAAGAGAGAACGAGCGAGCTGCCACTAGGACCGTGCAACAGTTTGACAGAGCGCCACCACTCTGGCGATAGTCGGAGTCACTGGACCGGAAATAATGCACGGAAGTGAGAATTTCTCTTTATTAATTTAATCTTGCAAATCTATCAAGTTAGAAGACGTTTATACAAGTAATAATGAATTTTCCATTATCTAATTTATTGTTTTTTTCCATACGCTTTGAGGTTATATATTTTTTGTGATGTTTGTTTTCAGAAAAATGGATAAGGTTATCACAGACAATGGAAAATTCATTATTACTTGTATAAACGTCTTTTAATTCGATAGATTTGTAAGATTAAATTAATAAAGAGAAATTGTCACTTACTTCCGTGCATTATTTCCGGTCCAGTGACTCCGACTGTCGCCAGTGGTGGCGCTCTATCAAACTGTTGCAAGCTCACTACTGTTGCACGGTCCTACTACTAATACTTTGAAATCCGTGTTGTACCTATACATACTTAATATTTTTCAAAAGATGCGAAACCACAAACTAAACACACGACGTGACGGTCGATTTTCTTCAGCCCACGGGTTTACACCTGCAGTAACGACAACAACACGCAGTGATACCTACGGACAACACAACACTTGGCTCGCGGATATTATTTGGCACGGCGCGACGCAAGTAAAAGGGGGTTGAGGCGTGTATGTTTGTATACACATGAGTCATCGTACGCGGCTACATAACAAAAGTTGGACGTGTACGAAAACTCTCCTCTTGTGCGTGCAAAGTATTTTTTTTTTTTTTTTTTCGTCCCCACCACACTGGGATGTTTATTACGCTCAACATTCCGCATTGCATACACAGTGGGAATTTAAGGTTTTTTTTTTTTTTTTTCGACCCCTCGAAATTCGAGACACGTGCGAGCCCCCTCACGTTATTATAATGACAAAAGTGCGTATACCCACATCGGCATTCCTTTACCTGTTTCGCTCTCTCCTTCTCTCTTTTCTAACAAACATGCATATGAAACAGAAAAATACCGATCCACGATCCAAGTACTTGTGTGCAGTTTTGCCATGTGCGTCGATTTTTCGTCGTTGCGTAATGCAAGCGTCTTGGGAAACATACCTACGTATAAACTAGTTATCAAAAAAAAACCTATATCTCTGCTTTCGTTGAACAAATAATCAAGTGAAATTTTTGCCGCGCTATCGGTTTTTCTTGGATCCGCGTCTCCTGCAGGAACATTCTTCCGAACGAGAACCTCAGTAGGTATATGTAAGTATTAATACACATGATTGGGCCGGAAGCTCTTTTGCTCTACAAAAAACAGCATATAATTTTATTTTTCACGCACTCGAGGGACCATGAAGACAAAAAAAAAGAGAATTTTTTTTTTTATTTTTCAACCGTGAAATTCACAACAGAGTCATCCATCACATCGGCATTAAGTGTATATGCGTAACTCAAGACAGCCTTACACAACTCTCTCCCCCCTGCAGGGGCCGAACATAAGTATGTATGTATATATATTATAATCTCCTCCGATGAGACGCGTTGTTACACACATAACAACAATAATAATATTATTCACACGATGCTTCGTTATCCAAATCTCCCGGCTTTCTTCACGCGCCGTTTGTAAGTACACTCCGTGCGCGCGCGCGCACTCAAGTGTGATTTAATTAATGCCAACTTTGCGTGGATATTCTCACTATTTTTTTTTTTTTTTTTTTTTCCCTCCTCTTGGACAATCTGTACGTATATACCGCGGCTTATCACTCGCTCGCCCGCTCCGATGTGCCCCCCCCCCTCCGTCTCTATTTACCGAATGATTGGTCGGGGGAGAAAAAAAAATTAAAAAAAAAAAGAAGCTATCTTTCATCGGTCTCTTCTCTCTGCTCGTGTTAGATAAAGTGGAGAGTTGAGTTGAAAAAGCCCCGAAACCAGGCGACACCCGTGTCGCGCGACTAGCGTGCAAACGAAACAGTTACGTGGTTCTCGTTGCAAGAGGCGGAGAGTTCCGCGGCGGCAAGTTTTATTGCACAGAGAAGAGCCATCACGGGGGACATAAGGAGGAGGAAGGAAAAAAGAGGCACACACACACACACACAGACACATCTCGAGAGGAAGACGACGATGATGATGATGAGTTGTTGGGAGAATGAGAGAGAGAGAGGCAGAGTCGTTGAATTGAGTGTACTACGTCGGCAATTGTAGAGATTTTTTTATTAATGCAATCAAGCGCAATTACAGCTTGAAGCGATTGTCGACTCGCTAAGTAATGAAACGCGCTTAAGCGGCTCAAGTCGCGCAACGTAACCGAATAAGTATTGTATACACATATATAACTATATTATATATACACATCGCACACAGGAGAGCGAGACAATTTTATAAAATATAATGTTATACACGTGTACATATATTTTACAGAGATGTGTTAGATGATGATGATGATAATAATAATAATAATACAAGTGAGTGACTTACTGGAAACCTCAATTCCTGCTCGAGTATCTTTTCGCCCACGACTTGAATGACCATTTCCTCGGTCTCCTTACGCACCGGCGACAGGAAGGATATCTTCGCACCAGTTGCATTTTGAAACTGAAACAGGCCGGACGAGGGGGAGGATGTATAAAAATAAAAAATTAAAAAAAAAAAAAAAACCGGCAAGTGATGCTTTATCGTCCAATGTACTTACACGCGCGTGTATATGTATTTTATGAATGCAAAGTGCAAAATACGCGAGCGGGAGGAGAAGGAGGAGGAAGCTGCAGAGAGAGAAAGACGGGAGTCGTCGTAATATTATACATTGTACCACGTACACTTGATTCCACATGCAAAGTATATAAAAGATCGGGCAAGGCACCATCATCTTCAAGCAAGAGAGCACAGACCGAGAGGAAAACTGCCAGAGAGCGTGTATATTATATGCGCGAGCTCTCTCTTTCCTTCTCGCCGACACTTTGGAGCCGCGCATTGCACATAGCTATCGGGCACCAGTATAGGCTTACCTACATAATAATATATACCTCTACACATTATGCGTATACAATACCTATGTAATACAAGTTAAAAGGCAACATTACGGAGGGGCGGAGAAAAATTTCGGAGAACATTCGTAAACCGATGGCTGCAAGTACTGTATAACAAAGAAAAATAAAAAAGAAAGGGAAGCAGCGGCCGCGCCGTCGAGTTTTCGCAGGCGGAAAAACCCCGGGTTATGATAATATACCACGCGCTGCGTAATATGCTCCGAAAAGCTCCTCTCTCTCCCTCTGCTGATTGCCGATGTCCTCCTCTTCCTCGCGTCCCCTTCTTTGCATTACATAAAGTCTGCACGTTCGCGCATCTGTGCGTTATAAGTACATGAAGCAGCATCAACGGTCGAACCGCGGCGATAGGGGAAAAAAAAAAAAAAAAAAAAAATACTTTACAGGTGAAGAGGTGCACACGTGTAATAAAAGTATATGGTGCTGATGTGGTGTGCGGTAAAGGAATCAGCATATATTTTTTTATCGAGGGTTAACTACATGAAGATGTATTGTGTTGTATGCAAATATACTCACGTATCTGTTGAGTCGTTGTTGGACGGAGGTGCAGGGTAGGTCGGCGAGCTCCTGTAGCAGAGGCAGTGCACTCTCGCTGCTGCTGCTAGCCTCGGGCGAACTCGTGGGGTCTGCAGAAGCCATATCCTCTTGTTTTTTTTTTTTGTTTTTTTTTTGTTTTTTTTCTTTTTCTCTTCCTTTGATCAAAAGAGCAGTTTTCACAGGAACGACTATGTAGCCGATGCCGTAAGTCTCAAGAGGCTATTTTGGCTTTGCACCTCGAAGTACCTACAGGTAACAAATAATCCTTGGCGACTGGCTCTCGCAGACGACGATGCTGCGAACGTGAGTGCATAACCCCCAGAGAGCGGACGTCAAAACACGAGCTTGTTGCTTGTTGTTGCTACTGCTGCTTCTTCTGCTGCTGATACAGCTGTTGCATCAATGATTGCAGCTGCGGAAATGCGAGCAGTCGCACTGCATAAATAATGGGATGATAACGACATAGCATGAGCAACGACTGTATAAATAATGGGAATGCTACAACCGGTTGAATGATCTTTCCTTTTCGTCTTCGTCGTTGTTATTACTTCAACAGGACACTCCGGTCTCTGTTTTGACGTCATATATCGAGTGATATATATATATATAAAATCTATATAATGTTGTAGCACACACGACTCCCCTTTTTCACGGTACGTTACAATACACAAACTATCCGTCCATCGGCCGATGAGGCCTATGGGGGGTGATGATGGCTGACGCGAGCACGTTCCGGTATGCCTATATATCCTGAACCTTTGCTCTCCAAAATAAACTCCGAAAAAGAGCTTGTGTGCAGTATATAACTCGCGAGGTATCTACAGTATATTTATATAGTCACTCGCGAGAGTCGCGAATGTTATTGCTATCGTTTTTAAAGAGACACATCACAGACACTCACATTAATACAAGTGTATAATATATTATAAAACATGTCAGGGGAGCAGAAGACGAGAGACGACAGAGCACAGAGAGTCAGACCGAGACATACAACGACAAGTTGTGTACGTATACAATATAATATACTTATATCTCCACGCTGCTTTCGCGTGTGCAGAATCAGCAATTCGTTGCGTTGGTGATTGTGTGTGTGTGTATATGTATATTTCGTTCACTGCTCCGGTTTATCTAATAAGTAGGTACCCTGCCTACATGTATATATATATATACTGCTGACTTGCTATCAATATCGATACAGATACCTATAAAAAAAGAGGTATACGTATGTATTGACACAGAGAGAGAGAGAGAGAACCACAGAGCCAGAGCACCAAACAATATACTGGCCCCGGTCTAAACAACTATCATTTACCGATCACGGGATTCACTGGATAGCCGGACGACTCTGACTGGAGCAGCGACACTACTAGTACTACTACCAGCTACCAGCTATCTGCTATCTATCGTCCGACACGACGATCGCCCCTTCGGGGAGTCAGGGCAGCCCCTACTCCGCTATATACCCACCAACTCTCTGACGTGGTATATCTCGTTCTCGCTTCTTTACTCGCGCGAGTGTTGCTTGCTTGCTCTTCTTCTCGTTTCCCTTCCCTCCCCCTCCGCCCTCGGCCCCAACCGCGCGCACACACACACATGCACACTGAAAATCGGAGCTCGCGCTCGCGCGCTTCTCTTTTCTCCCCCTCTCTCTCTCTCTCTCTCTCGTCATCCTCATCGTCGGGCGGAAAAAGAAGCGTTCTGAATGAGCGCATTGAGATTGAGCGCTGCTAATGTATTTACCATAGGTATAAGTAGATACATCTTTCTTGTACAGAAGTTACTCGCGCATTTTAGCTTGAGACGACCAAGTACGTAATAATGAGTGTGGTGTATGTAGGATGATGAAAAAAAAAATAATCGTGTCATAATCAATCTCCTCCGCTGACCCTCTCCGATGCCAACACCAGCAAATACAACACGTATATATTAGTATGATCCTCTCGGTGCCGGGGATCGAAGCCCTCTCTCAGTCTCTCCTCGTGTATGTAATGTGACGTCGTTCTGGCGCTGATGCTGATGCCGCGTGCCGATGCATGCCTTTTGGAAAACTACTCGGCGAGCCTCTCTCCGGTCTCTCTTGCGCTTTCCCCCTTAGAAAAAAAAAATAAATAAATAAATAAATAAACACCGTCCNGCCTGCTCCGTTTTTTCCCCCGCCACTCCGGCCGTATATAAGTTATACTTTTTGCACGTGTCATATATATATATATATTTATACATGTTACATAATACTTGTACTGCATTGATGACTGATTGGACGTATATTATTATTAGGGTGTGCGCTAATAAGAGATCGTATAGAAATTCGATAGTAAGTATAAGTACTTACTTGTCCCGATATTGGGCATCACACGCAACAATGTTGCTTTTAGTTTTGCCTGCTCCGTTTTTTCCCCCGCCACTCCGGCCGTATATAAGTTATACTTTTTGCACGTGTCATATATATATATATATTTATACATGTTACATAATACTTGTACTGCATTGATGACTGATTGGACGTATATTATTATTATTATTATTATCAATCACACCTGACATTATATAAAGTTGTTCAATTGGTCTCTTTGGCTTCCGATTTTTTCTAATATGTCCATTTTAACGAGTAAGTATATACAGTGACACTTCCGGATTCCAAGAGTAGCGATAAGTATATATTATCCCCAACATTTGGAGAAATTAGACGCGTTACACAAGTGTCGAATAGGCTTTGAATAACCGCTAATTTCTTGCGTGTAATTTCGGTATAGTTTTTTGGTTATATACTTGTATGGTATGTATGGTAGGGTACGTATATATGTACACCCAATGATAATATTTTTGGCGGCACGGGGTATCATCGGCGCTTCGTTTATCGTTCTCTCTCGCGGTGCGCTTATCAATTTTGCGCGCAGCATAACATATACAGCCATATGCTGTGCGCGCGTGTGCGTGTGTGTGTATAATACGTGTACAATACGTCCGCAAGTCCCTTATCCTTATCGGTGTATAATATTATGTTTTTGCGGGCGGCCACATGAAAATACACGATGCGTGTATATTATAGACAAAGTCGATGCGCCATCAGCTTCGTTGTTTTCTCGGTACAACTATGCGCAACTTGTAAACTTTTTCTCTCGCGATAACGAGCCTCCTTTTTTTTTTTTTTTCTAGTATAATTGAGAAGTGAAGCCTTACCGATCGAGAAGTGCGCCGAACTGCGCTGCCCTAGTTTTTTTTTTTTTTTTTTTTTTTTCGTTGTGCGCACGCGGCTTTGCTCAGCTCGCGAGTAGCTATTAAAAAAGTGATCAAGATCGATATGATGATCGGTTTCACGGCGTTACAGGGAAGAATTTTTTTTTTTTTTTTTCATTGTAACATCCAATCTACATATTATTAACAGTCTAACATTTTATATAGGCTTATAATTATCATCATATACAAAGCAACCTACATTTGCGAACTTTATTTCGATGTATACGTGTTGCATGTACATATACATTAAATATAAATCACGTATCAAGTAAACATAAGTAACAAGAAAACTGTAATATTATGTTTCCAACATAATTTTCTAACATTTTATCTCAAAACGAATTTTTTCACATTTTCATAGCAAAACTTGCCCATAGATTTTCAAAAAAATTGTTGAATTAATGACCCATAAAATTTATCAACTCATGACTAACACTTGTGCAGAATATATATTATATACATTGCTATATTACTAGCTATTTATCTGGTTTCTTTGGCTATACATATACTATACAACGTACGTTCGAAATACATACGTCGAATATCAAAAAATGTTTCCTTTGGCGTATTAAAGCACGTTAGGCAACTCCTTTACAAGTGTGTCGTAATCAACTTTCTTACAAAATGGCTCTTCTTAATGCTACAAAACTTTTTTATCACATACACTGTACACAAAATGAGCATATTTTTTCATCTTATATTTATAAAATAATTCATCCATTCCCTATTAACTGTTTTCTAAAAACTTTCTAATCGAGACAAATCTTCTCAATAACTACGACTCTGTATACATTTAAAAAAAATGATTTTCTCTTTGTCAATTATAATCGATTATTGTTGCCGCATTTTTTCCTTTTCAACAGACGAATTTGTTTATATTTGTTGAAAAAAAAAGTTCTTCACAAATTTTGTACACCAACTCTACGGTTAAATCAATTATAAACCTTTTTGGTATGCATTAAATGATAAAATTGTATCCATAACTTTGACATCGGCAAATAAAACATCCTTCGGGCTGACGAAAAAAAAAAAAATTATGTAACTAGAGTCTTTGATCGTTTGACGTAACTCAAGCAATAACCATTCGGATTTGTCATGTCAATTGAAAAAAAAAAAAAAACTACATTATCTACAATGATTCACAGTAAAGCTTCAAAATCCACAAAAATTATATAACGGACGTTGTATAGTCTTTATTTGTTTTCTTTCCCAAGTAATACTTTATCCGAAACACGTTCAAAGGAAAACCCATACACACGTTCATCAGCAGTGATTTCTAATTATTTGCAAAAAAAAAATCTCACTCAGTGACCCCGATCGCTTATCAAATAACGAAAAGCTCTTTTTTATACCCACTATAAATGCGCATCAATAAGTATATAGACAGCCTCGTCAAAAGCACGGAAAACATATGTATCCAAGCGTCGTGATGATATTGGAATCCCATTATGATTTATGAAAAAAAAAAAATATATATATATATATGTATAACAAAGAAAAACACACGATCAACGCAACTAAGTATACCGAATGCGAACGAAAAGTATAAAACGATTCGTTTACTCTCAAGAAGCCATCAACTCGCCAATGGTCGAGTTGTGCCGAGTCTTTCTCGAGCCCTCGTCGGGGATATACTCGCAGGACTTGTTGTTCGTGTTCGACGAGTGAAGGAGGGCGTTGGTCTTGTCAAAGTCTATCGTCACGTAGCCGTTCTGCGGTCGGGTCCTCGATGTGAGGTCGGGCGAGGACGCGTGAGGATCCAACGTCGTTGGCTCGCCGGTGGTCGGCGTCCCCTGGGCCGAGGTGCTCGTCTTGACCGGCGTCGTAGCGAGCCACAGCGAAGGCACCTCCTTCCTGTCCAAGTTCAAGACGGCGTACTTCATCTCCCGGAAGCCCGACGGGTAAGGGGGCGGGGTTTGCACCTGGCCGGACAACCTCTCGGACATGGAGACGACGGAGTAGCGTTTCTTCAGAGCTTCGATCTCGCTGTTGCCCAGGTTCGCGTACGAGTGCCTGGCGTCCTCGTCCGGCTCGAGCTGCAGCGGCAGGATCGGGAGCGCGGGCGGTCGTGGCTTGTTATTATTGGCGGCCACTGGTAGCACCAGCTCGACTTTCTCCGGCTCGGGACTCACGTTCGCGTAGACGCGAGGGTAGCTACTGTCGGCGATCTCGAGCAGCGAGTCGGACGACTCGTTCTTTCTTTGGGGAGTCGAGGAGTCGCAGGTGCTGGAGGGCGACAGCGGCGAGGCGTCGCTACCGAGGTCGACGTTCATGTAGGAGGGTACGTAGGATGGTTGTGAAGGCACTGCTGCACCGCCCTGGCTCGTGGCCCAAACCTCGTTGCCGGCTGGCTGGCCAGATGACACTTGCTCGGAGGACAAAAATACGCTACTCGACGTCGAACTGCTCACAGTTTGGGATCTTTAATTAAAAAAAAAAAAAAAAAAAAAAAAANAGCTCGCGCGCACCTACTCTCTCCAGCCCGAAATTTTCATTAATTTCGCCAATCCGAGCGAACTATTGTCGCGCAGTTACGCACAATTTGAAAGCGACAAAGCTTTCGCGCCAACTCCCAACCCTTCGCCCACTTTGGACTGGGATTGACGTGGATGATAAGCGAGTAGCGGCAGGGGAGGGTCTGAAAAACGAGAGGAGGAACAGGCTAAACGCAACAGAGGCAGAGAGAGAGAGACTCGACGAGTATATATATATGTATACATATGTATACGGAGGGCGGGTGAGAAGTTGGTACATCAAGCCGAGAAGAACGGGGTAAAGAAAAAAAAAAGACCAAGTATATACGTATACAGGGGCGGAAAGTAGAAGTCGAGGGTGGCATAGATTAGATTTACTCGCGTCATTTACTCGCGGAGTTAGACCGATGACGTTCCTCCGGAATATGTCTATTCGGAAAAAGCGGATCGTCTTTATGGTCAAGGTGTACACCAACGATCATTTTTCGACGCGCATTTGTATGATGAACTGCAAAATCAACGGGCACCGACATCGGATTGGCTACTCGGATGTAAATGTATACGTGTGGGATTCTGTAGTTGCATCCTGGAAACTTTTCGAGGGGCGTGGGGAGCGAAGTTGGATGTATACGGAGAAGAAAGGAGGGGAGCCGGCAGAGCCGAACAATGTATAATGCAATTCAAGCGCCGAGGCGATGCAATGCAAGACGGGTGCAAAGTCTGAAAACGGGAAAAGCACACGCGCGGAGCAGCCAGACAATCGGACGACTCCGTTTTACGCAACTCCTATACATATGGGGGCTCCGTAATATACGTACTCGCGCTACGGTTACGCAATCGCGACAGGCGACGAAATAATATCGCCATGTGCCGACTTTGTTGTCCAGACCTTTCGATTTACCTGGCGTGGGTGCTCGCTTTTCTCCACTTGGCTTTTCAATATAGGGTCCAATAATGGCAGTGGCAATCGATAGAGTTACGTAAGCTGTTTTGAGAGCTCCAAGGTAAAAAAATATTGAAGAGTAGTTATACCGTTGTGTCATTGTTATTTCACGTTTTCGATATAATATACATAGATGCAATGAGTACATGTATGTGCTTATACGTGTAAAACATACCTTTGAAAAATCGTAAATTTTTTGCTATTTTGATCGTCCAATTCTTCTTAATTTACGGACTGCAGAAGACTGAAAATTTTTTTTTTTTTTTTTTTTTTTTTTCGTTGTGCGCACGCGGCTTTGCTCAGCTCGCGAGTAGCTATTAAAAAAGTGATCAAGATCGATATGATGATCGGTTTCACGGCGTTACAGGGAAGAATTTTTTTTTTTTTTTTTTTCATTTCCATCCAACAGTATATTATGAATTATATATACATGGCTGCATGTCGAATTGATTTCTTTGGAATACGTATCTCGTGAGCACATTACACGGTCTATATTCGCTGTGGGCTTTGGAATATAGCGCCCTCGTCATAAAATTTGAGAACTTTTTTTTTTGTTATAGCCTTGCCATTGAATTAGTATATAATATGTATATTACTGATGGATGGAGCCGAAAATGTGAATATCATGCTGAGGCCAACCAAAAGTTATCGTTAAGTATCTTCATGAATTACTGTATTTTCTTTTGGATGCGCGAGACACGTGTGTAAGTATATATTACTCGTTGAATAGAAAGTAAAAGTATGGCAATATTGCCATTTGGAGGGTGCTCTTACCTAAACGTCAATTTTTATCTAAGAGTTGAGGAAAAATCTTCAATATTTTGATTGTATGGTACTACGAAAAAAAAAAAAAAAAGCTGAAGTCGGGAGAAAAAATATCGATGTTTCACACAAAAGTCTGCTTTAACAGAAATTTTTGTGTGAATCTCTTTGAAATAAAATTTGTTTGTTCTATTCAACACTTTTCTCGCTTTTTTCAAGAAAGTCAAAGGAAAACACTTAAGATCGAATAAAAGAATGTCCATAAATATACTTGGTAAAAAAATCAATGTTTCGTCCCTGACCCAGAAAAACTCTATCCATACTATACATCATGGAATTAGCTGAAAGTATATTGAGGAAAAAAAAACGTACTGGAACGCATCCTACTGTTCACGTATTCTCATTAACACATTTTTCATGATAAAAATGCGTGTAGCAATAACGAATTTTCTTCAATGAAAGAATGAACGTTTATTAATTTTTGAAAAACTTGTTCCACAACATCAAAACAATGTGCGTCGATAAGCTTTTAGGGTAGAAAATAAGACACAAGTTTTAGGGGGCACAATTTTTTTTTTTTTTTTTTTTTCAAAACCACACAACAAAGAACTGAACGCTACCCGATTTTTGTAGATTACGAAGTAGTACACGTATTGCGCATCAACAGAAATAAAACAACTCGTAATCCATCCCGATAATCTTCGCGCCTTCAATGATTAATGAATAAAAGTCTCGGAAAATAATTTGATGGAACTAAGTAAAAAGTTTCTTGTTAATTTTGCCATCGGTGATTTTATCCAATCAAAGTCCACTTCGAAGTTCTTTCTGGCTTATTCAGCCTACCGAAACATAAACAAGATCAGGCGTGTACACATCATACACGTATACTAGTGCGTATACATGTGGGCCGCGATCAATAAATTTAACGAAATTCGGGCTGATTTATGATGATAAGTTGTTATACTTGGGCTTGAATTCGGTTGGTATCGTTGGGCAGGGCCAGCAACGTATTAACTGTATTATACAAAAAGGTGAACGAAAAAAAGTAAAAACACGCTTTGAGTTATATTGTTTTCCCAGCGGCCGAAAAATTAATAACGTTGACACACATATTATTATAATCATGTGTATTTAAAATTAATAAACGCGCACGCGCCACTGGTTGACGATATCGACGATGATGAATTGACGAATCAGAGAGTCAGAGAGAGAGAGAGAGAGCATGTGTGTGTGTGTGTGTCATGGCCTTGATGTGCTTGTATTTTGTGTGCCCTTTTTTATTTTTATCTCCCTCCCTTTTTATGCTGTTGCAGTAAATGTCAAAAAATATAATTTATAGTAATAAATTTTTACCAACCATTATTTTAGGTATAGCTATACTTTAGGGTGCGCTTACATGGAGTTGTTGGAAGAGTATAGGTACATATATATACTTCCAGCTAAAAGACCCCGGGAGAAATTTGAATTTCAAGTCGTGAAGACCGGGGAGTTCTAGAATGGGACCTGACGTGAGCTCGCGATGGTATAGTGGTAGAGCGCTCGCTTTTCACCTGGTGTGCTAGAGTTCGATTCCCCGCTCCGTCCGCTTATTGTGGGGTTTTTTTTCTCTTCACATATCCTGTTCCCGGCTGCCAGCTCCTGGTTCATAGGTGCTTGTCACCGTGCCTATGTTAACCAGTTAATGAAAAACGCTCCCAAATTTAAACAAATATATATCTAAATGTGGCATATCTGCGTCCATCAGTTACTGAAGAGCTTAATAAATAGCAAGTAGTAGGCTAATAGTCTAGCACTAGCGCCACTGTTCTAGGTTAATCTCCACACAGTGGCGAGTTTCAAAAATGAGGAGAGAAGGCTCGTGACTATCAGCGCCACCAGCTTTTCTATCCTCACACATGGTGGCGTGGTTCCGAAGTTTTGAGAGAAGGCTCTCAAGAGCCGATACCAGTTGGTTTTATTAGTATTTTATCTTTTGATAAAAAATGTTTTTTTTTTTTTTTTTTTTTTTTTTTTTTATTTACCGAATTTTCTTTACTTTAATGAATTTTTAATTAGTTTTACTCTGAAAATATTTATACATCGACACTCTATATTTTTGAATGTTGTGCCAAAATCATCGAGGAAAATCTGATTAGTTTATGGCCATTCAGCATAATTACCACGACGTCGACGACGACGCCTCGACCTCCACGTAAGTACACGTACTTATTGATGTTTTTTGGACAAAAGGTGCACAGTCGAAGCCTGGCAGCGAGTAAAGAGAGGGAATCGATCGGGTCGAGGCTCGAAGGAAGTGCAAGAGAGAGCGAGAGAGAGAGTACCATTTCCGTGCGGCACGAAAGAAAGAGACTGACTAAACTCGTCGTCGACGACGCCACCGCCATTTTATTTGGTGCTCCCAACCGACAAAGAGCTACGTGGACCACGGCAACTCTCGGGACGAAACATAAACATCCACCCTTGGCGGTGGTTTGGTCGTCGTGTGTATAAGGGCGTTCTTGGATAATACGCGGAGGCAATGAGCAAGGTAAGAACTTCTTTTGGCTTTTGTTTTTTTTTCTTTTTTGGAGCTCGTTTGTTTTTGTTGCGACGTCGTCAGCATCGACCTCCGTGAACATTCGCTCGAACACACTCTTTATTCTCATGTTTTTCGATGTGGCACCCATTAAGTTGTATGTATATGTTGTGTGCAGTTGTACCTTCACAGGGCCCAAGTTGCAGTTTCTCTCGCGGGCTTGTTATAAATCGCTCGGGATTCTAGTGTTAAATTACACACAGGAATAATTGTTTACTCGTTTTATCGTCAATTTTTGAAGTAAGTATATATATATATCAGGTGGACTCGCAAGTTGAGGTTAAATCTTGACGAGTGTAAGGCAGTGTGTCTAAACGTATTTCCCCTTCCCCTATCAGTGTACGGTCCTGCAAGTGTGTAACCTTTTTTTGTTTCTTTTTGTTTTGTGACTTAGATGTCCAGGTATCCTTCAGACTGCAAAGTCTACGTTGGCGACCTCGGTAACAGCGCAACAAAACAGGAGTTGGAGGATGCGTTCTCCTACTACGGGCCGTTAAAAAATGTCTGGGTGGCGAGGAACCCCCCAGGTTTTGCATTTGTCGAGTTTGAGGATGCGCGTGATGCCGAAGACGCGGTAAGAGGCCTCGACGGTCGGACGCTCTGCGGACGTAGAGCACGCGTTGAAATTTCAAACGGCAAGAGGTCCAGGGACAGAGGAGGACCGCCCAGGCGTGCTGGATCTAGTAGATCCTTCCATCCAGAGGACAGGTGCTACGATTGTGGCGAGCGCGGACACTTTGCTCGCGATTGCTCGAAACACAAGGGCGGCGGCACTCGCAAGCGCAGGTTAGTGTTCATGTTTCTTTTCTTTCGTTATATTTCTTTAAAAAATCAATACTTTTGTCAAGTCGGTAGATGCATCTCTTCTTTCCTCCCTAAAATAACCAAGTACCGTTTTGTCTGTCTTTCTGTATAAGCACTGTTTTATCATAAATATATCTATATATACATATATGTGTCACTCGTGACGTTGCACAATCTCTTCCATTAGCCTATCTACGTAGTACCATGGAATTTTATTTGAGAAGATAAATCCTGATCATCCTTGAGATGTACCACGTAATTTTATCCTTTGACAAAAATATTTTTACACGATTGATACTACGGTGCAACAAGGTTTAATTTCTTGCCTCTTTGCTGTATCGGATGATACGAAACAATAGTTTTGTTAAACACAGAAATGGATCAATTTTTTTTTTTTTTTACATTATTTTCAAATCAACGTAGCTTGTCTTTTAATAATATACGCAAATCATTGAACCTTCTTGCTTGAATGATGTAGCAGTTGAAAAATTTAGAAGAAAAGGTTTCTATAGTAATTTTTTAGAAAAGTAAAAGAAAACAATTAAATTTAATGAGTTTAAAGCGTAAGAAGCAGCCAGACATTATTAGCTGGTTTTGTGCACATCAGAGAGTACGCCGTCCATGTAATTTGCCCATTATTTATAGGAGGTGCGGCTGAAGCAGCAACATTTGCATGTGACAGTGCAAATTGTCGCACAAGTTCGACTCTCGCGAGAATCGACTAATCGACTTCAGCTCACTTAGTGATGCACACAATCTGCGTTAATAACAGCGTTGTAGAGCACCTACCTACTTTGGGTTAACTTCTGCACATCGAGACACAGAACAGTGAAAATATGAAAATAAAAGACCTCCCAGATATTCAATGAACGAGAAAGTGATCATTCATCGAGCAAAATCGAGCGACAGTGGCACTTCGGGTTCTTCTAACCAACAGCACTTCGCTCTGCGCCACGACCTCCGTTTGCTTCTTCGTGCCTTCGTTCAGCCTCCCGATGTTTGCGCCCGAACATCGCATAAAAAACATAGCGCATCATCTGTCCTTATAGTCGTCTACACTCTCCTCGTCTCCACACATCCGAACGTTGCGCGATTCGATTGACAATCTGCTCTGCTATCTTCCTCCTTCCGCGCGTATTCACGCAGCCTCCAATAGGTATACAAAATTAAAGAATCGAAAATACAGTTCATTATTACAGTTTACAGTAGCAGGAGTACACATTGTTATTGTTTTTATTCTTTTTTGTTTTTCTTTAAACAAAACGTTAGCTTTGCATATTTTGTTATTGTTTTCTATGTTTGCCATTACTATTTGTTTCTTTTTTTCTTTTTTATTTACTTTGTTTTATCATTAAATCATTGTCTCAAACATTTGTGTTATTGAAATTTTTATTCATCTTACATGTAAATAACTCATTACTAAAATTATTTGGACATACTATGTTGGGTTTTGATTAAAATCAAGTAACGTCAATGATTTTCCCTTTAGTTGCTAATTTTTTACGCAACTCAATACCCTTCTAACAATATAATTTTTGTAGATGAATTTTTAAGTTCAAAAAGAATAAATTGTTGCAGCCTTATAATGCTAATGTGTCTTTCGAGTCATTGAATTAATAATGTTGATGATAATTTTTTTAAATTAAAGAGATTTAAATATTTCAGACATTGAAAATCTGAGAATAAGGACAAAATAATTGAGTTGAAACAGGCAAAAATACTTGGATTGTCGATTACAAACACAAAACTTTCGTTGTAGGTCTGTATCAAGATCGCGCTCAAGGTCACGCTCTCGCTCAAGGCAAAGAAGCAGGCGCTCTTATTCGCGCTCTGGCTCGCGTAGCCGATCTCGCAGCAGGAGCAAGAATGGACGCTTGAGATCTTTGAGTAAATCTAAATCTCCTAGATCAAGAAGCCGTAGTCCACGCAGATCAGGCACACCGCACTAGACAGCTTCACTTTGACAGCCACGATAGGTTTGTCCACAATCAACTTTATTATTTTTTTTTTAACCCGTAATTCGAAATTAACATTTTATTTACTAATTTTAATATTTTTTACAGATTATTTTCATTCTGGGATCAAATTCATCTTCCCCATGACTGAGGGTACTTAGATACCTCAAAACTATACTGGTATCAATAATATTGTACCAACAATTATTTCATGTACTACAATTTAATTTTTTTTTTTTTAGACAACTTTTAAACTAGATTAATCTTTTAAATTGTAATTAATTTCGAAGTAACTACTTCGAAATTATATTCGCTGAATACTTATGTTACATTCGACATATAGGTGTAGTTATATCAATTTGCATCGCACTTTACAGTACTTTGAATAAATTCAAATACGAAAATGTCATTCATTTAGTTAATGCGTATCAAAAAAAATAAATTTATAATTATCAATTTCAATGACATAATTCCTACGTTGTAAGTAAATATTGTTCCAATAAAATAGTATTCTAATACAGAAATGGTGCTTGTTGTCCTGTCTTGTTTATTAAGGAGGTTCGGTAGTGATAATTTTTTATGATGAAAATTTTTGAAATTTCGATATGTCGTTTGGGATAATAGTATCAAATTACAGCTAAATTTTTGAAGGGTTTAACCACACCGTTTTCAAGATATATTGACCTGAAAAAACAATATTTTAACATGTAGGCTTATGGAGAAATCACTTAAATTTCACATAAAAAAAAAACGGCTAAATGAACTTGCTTTTTTTTTTTTTTAAATGAAAGAATATTGTCAAAATAATATTTTGTCAAAGTTTGAGAGAGCCCTACCACAAATTTCTATTAAAAAACAGCAAAAAATGTGCTCGCAGCAGACGACTTGGCAACGCTGCTTTTGGCGCGCGCTTTGAAATGTAATGAATAGTAAAAACTCCTTTTGTAATTGA